ATGTGTTGTGGGGCAGTCAAGATCCTGGCTCTACTCCATGCCGTAGTCTGCGGACATGGTTATATCATTTTTTAGGTTTATAATAGATGTGTTCTTAACTAGTTGAATAGCATATTTCCATTAGTACTATTGATGGGTTTTATTTTCTAATGGCAGAAGAACAGACTTATGTTGAAATTTACTTATTAGCTTTGCATTTCCAGAACTAAGTAGCAACAAGAAGTACAGTACAAAAACACAGATGTAGTATTTATGTAGCCAGAAGTGCCCTGAAGACATGTTCTCGCAATTGTTTAAGGAGATCTTCTATTTTCATGCAAACACTTTGTGTATACGCCTCTCAGTGTATGTTGTTTTTCAGAGTGTGGACTAGATGTTGTTTTAGCATTTCTCATTCTTGCATACCTTAACTCATACGGGCAGCATTTGGGAATCTCATTGTGTGCCTCTCTGGTGTGATTTGATCTTGTGTGGTGGCTGGTTTACTCTTGTTTTCCCTTTATCCCTGATAGTGCTATTATTTAGTACCAAAATTGCTACATTTGTTTGTATGCAGTTAAAATATCTTAATGGAATTCTTCCTTTTGAGAAAGAGTCCATCTTAGTTCAAACCTGGCATCCACTACCTTTAAGGAAGTGGGAAGCAGGTTTTTTTACAAATTTCCTAGGAAAACTTAGGATTTCAAATTTACATGTGCAATTCTAAATAACAGTGGAAAACAACCAGGATGTTGCAGTTTGGTCAATTGCTCGCTGAGATTTGCTTTGCTGCAGTTGAGGAATATAGTCTATGTGCAGAAATAACAATAATGTTGAGGGATATCTCTAAGATTGTGGGTTTTTTTTAAAAAGACTAGAAACATTCACAGCAAACGGTTCTGACAGTTCACTATCTGTGTAATGTTGTGCAGTGCCCAAATAAAAGTGCTGCACACAGAGAATTTGCGGACGCTCACCAGAGCAGCAGTCCAGTCAGCTGTGGCAATTGCTGTCCTCAGATCTGTGTTCCACGCTTACAGGATTATGAGGTATTTTTCCACAAGAGAAAAGAAATTGCTTTATAATTTGTTCAGCTGTTTTTCTCTATTTTCTTCTTGAAGAAGTAGGAAACTGTAGGCTTTCAGCAGCTGAGTTAATGTTAAAATGTTCAAGACATTTTAAGTAGATTGTTTTGAAAAAAAAAAAGACAAAAAGAGACTTCTTGTTAATAATACTGCTGTGTTTTTTTAATGAAGTTTATTGTAGGTTTAACTTAAGAGCATCTTGTGCACCTGGCCTTTTAGGAAGAAAGTAGTTTATAAAAAAACAAACTTTAGCTGTTTTGAATTTAAGTAATGTCATAGACTTCAGTGGAGCCCTGTTGATTTATTCTATTAGCTTGTCTTTGGCCGATAGGAGTCAGAGGGCTTACCGCTGTGACAACCACTATGTAACTGAACAGAGTATGAACTTCAGGAGGGGACAAGGTGAGAGGGGCACGAGGAGGCCAGGGTGACCTTATTGCCTGCAGCTCTAGCTTTAATTGCAGCCTATCTACCAGTAGATCACTAACTACAGAGCCAACTTGATATGACTAGCATGGAGTCCTTTCACATTATAACTCAAAACAGAAGCAATTACCATAAACAATCTTAGGGGTTTTTTTTGGTTTTTTTTTGTTTTTTTAATAGCCTAAGTAGTGGATAGTAGTTTTCTTTACCTTGAAGACACGTAGCCTTATTGCTTCCTTTCTATACACATATATGCAGAGGATAAAAAAAAAGCTAGCAAACAATTTTTGCTTTAAATCCTTATTAGTAAATTAAGCATGCGTGTGTGATTAATATTTTCTTTCCAGCACTTCACACTTGAATAGCTGATAATAAGCAGCTTATGTATCAGCTTGGCTCTTGCATTATTGTTAAGCATCTTTATAAAGTGTTTACTGATATACATAACAGTATTGAGAAGTTTGGGAATAATGGTCGTATTTGTTTACTTATTTTCGTTGTTGCGATCATTATGTGATGTTAATGAAGAATAATTATCAGTGAGTTTAATTTTCAAACTCGTCCAAAATCTATTAACGTAAGCAATTTACTTACATTTTTTTCACAGCAGGTTTGAAAATGCACAGCTGTCTAGGCATACCATCCTATTTAATTTTTGTGTGGAGTATGTAGGCCCCATTTAACAGTCCAAGAGCCCAAGCACCTCTAACTGCTGCACGTGAGTAACATGCTATAAATCCCTATAGCAAGTGTACTTGTCCAGCGTAATTGTCTGTATTGGACACGCCACTGAAAGCTATTTGGCTCAAAGTATGCTCCATAGCAAACTACATCTAAAACAGCAGTATCGCTGATTAGATTAATGCAATTATTAAGCAGACTAAACTGGCCTTAATATGTAGAATTTGGTTACATCAATAAATTTCTGTAGACAAAGCAGTCAAAAGAGGTAACCTCAGAGCCTGCTTGCTGTGAGGGTTAAATTTATACCTTCCCCAAGGATGTAAATGCAGAGGTGTTTACTCAAGAGGATGGAATAACTCATTCTACATCTGTGGGATAAGTAGAGAATTTGATGGCTTGCATTTAAACTATGGTTTAATAAAGTTAAATGTTAAGGAAGCTTGGTAAGTAAATACTGCATACCAGGGGCTTCAATTTAATTTTTGTATGTAAAACTGGTGGGGGGAAAAGGGTCTTTTCCTTTTAGAGTTAACTATTATCACAGAAATCTACTATAATAACTAGTGTTGAAAGGCTTTTCATATTTAAGCCACTTCCAAAATAGGTTACATCTCAGTTTTCAGGTCCTTTAAGTCCTACCTCACTTTTACTCCTCAACAAAATGGAGATACAATATAAGCTCTAAAACCACAACCTAATGTTCCACACTTCACACACATTTATTGTGTCAGAATAAAAGCGTTTTTCTGACCAAAATAGTAGAGATTAATTTCTTTTTAATCTTTTTCGTGCTGATGTGAGTAATCTGTAATGTGACATCATATGAAAATAGCAAAAAGTTGAACAAATACACCAAATGTTGTACTTTATAAATATGATTAGGAAAGCAAGATTATGATTGCATCTATATGTCTGACTTCCATTTAATTCATCATGCTGGAGCAATTGTGGTGTTGTAATTGAGGTGATTTCAGTTTTCAATAAAATAAAAATAAAAGCTTATCTTTTTTTGAGGAAATGAACCCAAATATTTAATTCCTTATTTGTTAGTCACTTACTTATGAACCCTTGTCTGTCAATGTTGGGCATATATTTTTATGTAATTGCAATGGAACGTGGATGAGAGGACATGGCTGCTCAGTATTTCAGAAGGACATCCCCAAATGAGTGGGTCTGGTACTAGTGAGAAGTTTATCTGTTGTTGGAGTTACAGAATGTCATGGAGGTTCAAGCTCTTCCCTGTATTCTCATTTTCTCTGCTACAAATACTATATGTAAGATGTCCTTATTTCTCATAAAAAATAATTCTGTTTTAAAGAAGATGGTTGTATATGTTTATACATATAGCCGTATGCGTATAACATTGAGTGTTTTATTAGTATCTTGCAGAAGAGTAGAGTGAATTACACTGAAAGCTGAAACAAACATGGTAGGGACCTTGTAAAAATTGGCTGTTCTGTAAGGGTTGAAGGAGAATGTGTTGGAAACTCCAGGGCCAAGTCAAAGTGGCCTTTATGATGGATTGTTAGCTGCTGGACAGTATAGACCTTAGTTTTGGTTTCACTGTATTATGTAATTTCCGCTTCAAATATGAATTCTGACCTAATGTTTTAAGAATTATTAGAAAGTAAGAGATCAATGTAATTCTAGTAATTTAAATCACACGGGAAGTAGGGCCACAAAGATGATCAGGGAGCTGGAGCACCTCCCCTGTGAGGACACGCTGAGAGAGTTGGGGTTGTTCAGCCTGGAGAAGAGAAGGCTCTGGGGAGACCTTATAGTGGCCTTCCAGGACTTAAAGGGGACCTACAGGAAAGGTGGGGAGGAACTTTTTATCAGGGAGTGTAGTGATGGGATGAGGGGTAACGGTTTCCTGAAAGAGGGGAGATCTAGATTAGATATTAGGAAGAAGTTCTTTACAGTGCGGGTGGTGAGACACTGGAACAGGTTGCCCAGAGATGCCTCATCGCTGGCAGTGTTGAAGGCCAGGTTGGATGGGGCTTTGCACAGCATGGTCTAGTGGAAGGTGTCCCTGCCTGTGGTATGGAACTAGATGATCTTTGAAGTCCCTTCCAACCCAAACCATTCTATGATTCTATCATAAATAGCCAAATCAATTCTTACATTATCAAAAGTATCTAAATGTGTTTTTGTTGGTTTGTGATGTACATCATCACCAGCACAAAGACAACAGAATTGGCAATCAGTGCTGCTGCTCTGCTTTGATGACTTGATCTTCAGAGGGAGGTAGAAGGGTTACTTCAAGAATCTAAATCCAAAACTTAGGTCTTTGGAGTTCTGTCAGCCAATGCTCCTGCCTAGAAAAACATAGGTAGTAATTTTCAGCATGAAAATCTGTTGTTCATGAAAAGGCCTTTTTCCAGGCATGAATAGAAATATTCCATTTTTGATAAGCAAATATCTTGATATCTATCTTATATCTAAACCTATGGCTTAACGGCTTATATCTAAGGCTTATACCTAAGCTCCAAAGAGGGCTTAAATATAAATTAGATATTTCTACAGTTACCTTGCAACTTCGGCTAAATCCATTTGGAAGTATCATGAGAGAATATGATTATCTTTCAACTTCCAGATGAGTGCCCCAGTCAGCAAGTCAGGAGATTTTACAAGGTGGTAGTTACATGTAACAAAACACCAAATACACTCATTACTCAGTATTTCATAATTATTAATATATTTTAATCTTCTTATTATCTTGAAATTTCCCAAGGTAGTCCTGGTTCTGTTTTGCTTAGTAAAGAAATTATTGCACTTCAAAGACATAAAAGAACTGACAATCTTCTCCATTTTACTTTCTTTCAGGAATTAAGTTGGGAAGCTGCAGAGCATTAAAGTGATGTGTTTAATGTGTGGTGACATCCTATGTGCAGATCATTGTATCTGAAACTTTTCAGTAAACTTAAACTTTTTGACTTCCAAGGTGGAAGGGGTAGATTCTTGGACACTCCTGTGCCTACAAAATAACCAAAAATGAAGGAGGACAATTGTTTACATGCCGCTCTTATCTGCCTGGGCATGCTGTATTACAGCCATGCCATAACAACTGAAAAACTGAACCACACAAGGCCATCACTTCACGGTCACCATGAAAAAGGAAAAGAAGGACAAGTGCTGCATCGTTCAAAAAGAGGCTGGGTGTGGAATCAGTTCTTTGTTATCGAAGAGTATACAGGACCAGATCCTGTACTAGTAGGAAGAGTAAGAAAGAATTTCTTTTTCATTCATTGGTTAATGTTACCAATTTATATTATTATTATTTTGTGAGTTGCTTTTTTTCTTGCCATTGCTTTTCTATTGTATTAGCTACTTCTTCAGCAGCTACTTATTCACCTAGAATTAATTGTTTTATTGTAGATCAATTAAGATGCTAGGCAAAATACTGCCAAAGTGAACACAAATTGTTCCATTGACCTCAGCAGTCTTTCAATGAAGGTGTACAAGCTGTTATTTATCACAACAGCAAGAACCACAGCAACCACCTGAGCAACAATATGTCTCAAGAATATCTGGTATCATTCTTGGGTCTTTAAAAATAATAATTAAAAATATAATGTCTAACCTAGCAGCTCAGTAAAAGTGTATTGTTCAATAGGTATCTCTTCATCCTTTCATTTCCAGGTTACCAGTTAATTAAATATATGAGGGGTATGCATAGAGGGAGATACATACCTGTGTGCACATGTATATGTACACACATCCTGGACTAATTTTTTATTCTGTTACTGTCTAAGACTAACAAAATATAAATACATAAATAAAACAGTATATTTGCCAGTTTATAAATGGTCAGAAGAACTGTTGATTTAACCCCAGACAAAAAGAGTGGAGAACAGAATCAATGACAGCAAATACCATTCTGGATATTCTGATTTAAAAGATAGTCAGTATTGTACAATTTGTAGATGTCAATATAAAAATCAATAAATCTGTAATTTGGCTTAATGTTTCCCTCATTTGTCAAACTGAAGTGTGCATTGTTTGAGAAAGTAAGAATGTTTAGTAAGCGTTTGTTACTTTGTTTATATTAAAGAATTGGTAATTAAAAACTAGTGGGCAATCACTGATTGGCTCGTTTTACATCCCATTTTCACTTAAGAGCTTTTTATATGCAACCTAGTAGGGTATGATTAGTATGAAGTATACAAAATTGTTGTAAAAATGACTCTTCTTTCCAACTTCATTTGAATAAAGAACCTGTTATAACTATCTTCTCATGAATTCTTTTCCTGAAATCTTAAAGCCTGGGTTTCAGTAGCACCACACGTGTGGTAGCATGCAAGTCTGTGCAGGCAGCTTTTCTGAATGCAGAACAGATGTGTTCACAGCATGTGCCTGAGTATGGGTTATTGCCTGATGTAAGACAAGATTTTTGACAACTATGAAATGATAGTAATTTCATGAACTTTTTTGTTTCATAAACACGTACCTGAAATGTATACCATCTTGTTAAGCTATGTTTGTTTCTCGTTTTGTAGCTTCATTCAGATATTGATTCTGGAGATGGAAACATTAAATACATTCTCTCAGGTGAAGGAGCAGGAATCATTTTTGTTATTGATGACAAATCAGGGAACATCCATGCAACAAAGACACTGGACCGGGAGGAGAGAGCTCAATATACTCTCACGGCACAAGCTGTAGACAGGAACACTAACAGACCTTTGGAACCACCTTCTGAATTTATTGTTAAAGTTCAAGATATAAATGACAACCCGCCTGAGTTTCTTCATGAAAACTACCATGCCAATGTGCCAGAGAGATCAAATGTAGGTAAGTACTCACAAATGCAGTTCGGTTCCTGGCCTTATGGAAGATGTTGCATTGTCAGTACATCTTGGCTTTATTTCTTATTGTCTAGGATTTTGAGAAGTAACATTTACTTCATGCTCAGCCAGTGGCTCAGTCAATTTATCTAATTTGCCCACAAAATCAAATTCTGCAGAGCTACTAACTGTCATCGTTGAAGTGTCTCTGGATGGTTGCTAGAACAGGACTTTTTCCTCCTAGGAACGAACTTGAGGGTCCCCTGGAATTTATGGAGTGTGAATACTCTGGGGTGAATATCAAGATCATTTTTTTGCCAGAGCTGTGTAATAAAACTCAGGAGTTAATGCCATACTATCTATTCCATTTTCATCTATTGTTTGAGCTTGTGTCTATCTAGGAGATTTCTACAGGAATGATTTCTCTGAAACTTATAGAGGGAAATGTAAAAAGAACTCTGTTGTTTGGCTGTCTAATGACAAAAGCAATATCACGCTTAAACTACTGAGGAAAAAAACCATAATGGTACAGAGCAACATTTATACCTTCGCTGTTTAGAAGATTAATCCACATCACAGCTCTTGACAAATCTTTTTGGATCTTATGAGTCTATTTTGTTGTATAGAAATCGCCAAGTAAAATATTTTAAATTACTAAACCTGGAAATAAAAAAATTGAGAAGTATTTATGCCGCATGACTGAAAACATCTTTGCATGGTTCTTACAGACGTGTTTGCTTCTGACCATATTCCTTCTGTGTTTGCTTTCCATTTTTAGGTACATCAGTTATTCAGGTAACAGCTTCAGATGCTGATGATCCTACCTATGGGAACAGTGCCAAACTGGTTTACAGTATTCTTGAAGGTCAGCCGTACTTCTCAGTGGAAGCTCAAACAGGTATTATTGAGCAGTTTGTTTGAGTAAGACCTCATATCCGGAATACATTAAAATGAAGAACTAATTTTATTGACTGAGGCAGTGTGGTTGCTGATGTGTTTGAGCAAAGCTTCCTTCATACTCTCTTGATTCTAGCTAAGCTCTTGTGCAGGTTAGTCCACTGTCATTTGGTAGAGCTTCTGGGTGCACTACACTAGAAAGGTGATACCGTTTCTTTTGTGGTATCATATGATATGATAGAAATGGCAGTTTCTGTACTGAAATGTAATTCTCCAGGGTGGTTCTGTTTTCAACTGTGTTGAATATTCAGGCTGCTTTCATTGCATAGCATGATGCACACTGTAGGAAAAACAGAATCTGCACTATCGTTGCAAATATTGCTGTATTTTAATGCAAGCAAAAAATGCAGTATCCAGTTTTTCATGATGTGACCCTGTGAAAATTTGTATGTGCCATATTTTCTTTGTATTTATAGGAATTATCCGAACTGCCCTTCCAAATATGGACAGAGAAGCTAAGGAAGAGTACCACGTTGTAATACAGGCAAAAGATATGGGAGGACACATGGGAGGCCTCTCAGGGACAACCAAAGTAACAATTACACTTACAGATGTCAATGACAACCCACCAAAGTTCCCACAGAGTAAGTAACAACAAAATCCTTACTCAGTTTAGTACTAGTACCCATATTTGTATAGTATCGGATATATTCAAGACTTCAAAAAGCAGTAATTGAGGGATTATCACCGCATACGTGTGAATAGATAAATATTATTTACACGTTTTTGCTAGTAACATATAGAGCGTTAGCATTTGGGTTATTTGCTTTGTTTTGCAAAGTGAGACATTTTTTAAGGTTGGGATTAGATTACAAAGATTCCTAACCCTATACTTCATTTTTTTAAATTGGTGGACCATTTTATATTAGAAATATACCTATGATGTGATCAGGGAGACATGGTCTGGACTTGTTTGTTAATGGAGAAAGAAGCTCCATTTCTTGAGGGCTTTCTTGTGTGTTAAACCAAATTGGTCAAAAATATTAGACAATGTACCTGCCCTGCAGCAGTGCTAAGATAAGCTGGTTTACTTCCTTTCCCATTTTCATAATTATAGTGTGGATATAAGAGACACTTAAAAAAAAACAAGCAGTGTTTACTACTCTGCTCAGACCACAAGAACTTTAAGAAACCTTTGTGGGGAAGTAGGAGGAGGATAAAACAAAAATCCCTGCATGTATTGTGTAGCAACAGATTTTTCTGTGTTGGGAGAGTTGGAGTATGCGGTAGTCATGTAGCATGTATGCAGCAGAAAGCTCTCCAGTTAGTTTTAGAGTGTTTGAAAGAAGTCTCTGAGTGACCTTATGTCATGCCTTTCAGTACTCCAAGTTCATAGCTATTTGCAAGCATAGTTATGATAGTAATTTTCAATGAACAAATCCACTTTGCGTTTTGATGAAGGTGGGCAAAGGAAAGGAGATCTGCTTTGTATTCTTACAGCTATATTTCTCAGGCTTGAAGTATCTTGCTTTTCTTGGCCCTTTATGAAAGTGTTGCACAATCTATTAACAGATCCTTATTATGCCCTTTCTGGTCTTTGACAGACCTTCAAGTGAGAGAGCATCATTTTTTATTTCACATAGCCTTTCATTTTAGAGTGTTGATGCTTCATCCTTTTCTTCTATAACACTCTCAGTGAATGGTGAATATCCATAAGGATAAAAGTTAAGACTGGGTACTCCTCAAGACTTATATTTACCATGGCAATACAAACTACATATTTAAACTTATGGTTGAATTGTATTGCTGGTAAATAAAGTCATTTTTTATGCCTGTGCTATTTATTTTTCACATATAAAATTAATCAGCGCTGACATTAACACATTCAGTCTTCACAGTTGGGTGGAAGTACATTAATGGACCCACACATCTGTTCTGCATCTCATCTCTGCATGATTGTTTGGGTTTTTTTTTCTGGTGTGCAGTGCACACACCATCCCAGCCCACCCTGTTTATCCTCTGAGCAACTGTTATGACACTGATATGTCCTGGACACGACCATCTCTGTCACAGCTCTGCTTCCAATGTTGCAGCTTCCTGAACCCTCACGCAAGAACTTAAATGACGTAGCCAGGCCCTAAATGTAATATCTATGTCAGCATTTTCTACCATTCTAACAGGAAAGTATTAAATCCTAAAAATGTCAGGTTTTACATGCCTCACAAACATACTTTTTCTTTCAAAATCAAAACCTGGGACCCCAGTACATGGTATTTGTTGAGTAACTGAATCAAATGATGCATTTTTCTCTACAAATTCAAGGTGCTTTACTGAGTGTTTTGGGAAAATATTTAAAATTATCAGAAATGCCGAATAGCAGTTACTCTACTTAATCTACTTAATTCACCCCCAACTTAAAACCTTCATTTGGAATGCTTTGTAACTGAAAACCAGGATTTGACCTGTTTATATAAACATCCAAATGATCGATTTTTTTTTTTTTTTTAATTCCTCTTTTCCTTCTTTTATTATTTTTTTTTTTCCTGTTGTTCATTGCTCAAACAATTAATGAGTTATGTGCTTAAATTTTGGGTTCTTTGTGACTGGAGTTAATGACCTATTTTGATGATATGTGCCAATTGTTTTTATGGGTAATGAGCCAAGTCCCTGCCTCTTGTAATTCTCCTGATGTTCCAGGGTGCTTGTGTAGCAACAATGAGCAATTATGGAGGGGGGAATAAATTAGATTATTTTATTTTCTCATGCCCTTTTTTTCACCAATTTATTAATTCTGATGAAGTGTCAGAAAATGGTGACATAGATTTGTACATTTAGGATCAGGTTGTGCTGTCTGAACTCTGGAGTGGGTTGGGAAGGTCCTGGAATCAATGCTGCCTAAAGGTCAACTGTTAGAGAGAGGTTTGTTGAGGAATAGTATTGCTTTCTTCTGGTGTCCCTGAATACGCACGGAAAAACCTATATGGCAACACAGCTGTGGGATGTTTGGGGATGATTTTCCTATTGGAGTTTGATGAGGGAAAGCCATTTTTTGTTTGGTATGGAATCCCATACAAATTGGTGTGTATTTTGTGTTGTGTTAAATTTTAATCATTGCTACTGTATGTTCATGCTCCAAATTAAAGCCATAGAAAGCATCAGTTTTATTCTTTAGCCAGCACAGTAGAGAGGTCTTACCTGAATCGTTGTATATAATTCATGGCTCCTGAATGAATAGGCAGAAACGCTTCTGGACTCTAAAGAGTTGAGGGTCATACTATCAGTCATATGAAAGAGAATTTTCCTTCCATTTTTGTGATAACATTTCTGATATGAATGATAACCTTGATGTCACAACAATTTCTGCAGTCTGAATGATTTGTTGTCTTTTTAACCCTACCCTGAACAGAGATACACAGATGTTGTGTAAAACATCCATGAGGAGGTAATATTATATAGATTAGCCATGTGTTTTAAGATTTCACAGTTTACTTGCTTCTCAGAGCTCTTTATGACATAATATTCCTTCAGAGGATTTGAAAATGTAAAAAATTACTGTGTTTGTTTGGAACTTACAAGTTAAATGAGTAAATATGCAACTGGAGTGCAGACTGCATACTTAAGGCAAATGACTTTTTTTCTTCCACCAGGTGTGTACCAGATGTCAGTGTCGGAAGCAGCTGTCCCAGGAGAGGAGGTTGGAAGAGTAAAGGCCAAAGATCCAGACATTGGGGAAAATGGCTTAGTAGCCTACAGCATCATTGATGGAGATGGCATGGATATGTTTGAAATTTCGACGGATTATGAGACTCAGGAAGGTGTTGTAAAGCTTAAGAAGGTGAGTAATACCTACTAATGTGTTGTATTCTTTGTTGCTGACAGAATGTTTGGTAATAATGGATTACCACATAACCTAAAATATCATTAAATGCAATGTCACTTAATTTCTTTCTAAAGCTGTGATTAACTCTTAATATTCCATTTCCCCATTAGCTGAATTGGAATGGAAGAAAATAACCAAGAAGAGTTACATAAATACTGTACAGTGGATTAATTGCACAAACTAAATGAATTCATAATAAAAAGTCACGGTAAAATACAATGCCATCAGCTTCATTGTTAATGAAGTTTTGCCTAGTGCTGATAAGTAGCAGACATTCGCTGTTGCTTTATGTTCAGTCTGAATAGCCTCATGCCCTATAGTTTGAATTCCTCAGCTGTGCATTGTCCACAATATTGTTCTGAAGGAGTCACAGGCTATGCTAAAAGCAGCAAAAATACTGAAGTTATTTCATATACAATCCATCAGGGTGATCTTTAAAAGTGTTATTAAATCAATTTTAAATTACAAATTAAAATCCATAAATCTTATTCATTATTTAGACATTATTTTTTTCCCTTTGTATCTTTATAGCTATTCATCTTTCTTGGAGATAATCAAAACTCAAAGGAGAAGGCCTGGGCAACTTAACTTCAAAGTTAGCCCTGCCCTGCACATCAGGGTAGTCTCTCAGGAAGAGACACAGAGGTCTCCTCTGGTCAAAACTATGCTGTGGTTCAGTTACTGTATCTGTTCTGGAGGTGGGGAGTGTGTTTTTTGTGTGTTCTAAAACATGGGCGAACTGTCACACCATTCAGTCTATGGTGTTAGCATACTTTACAAATTGTGGTGGGCACCTGCATGATCATTTTGAGGCTCCCAGTACTTCAACACTGCAGCCATTTCATGTCAGCGACAATGCAGGTATGCTGTGCCTTTGATCAGGCTCCCAAAAGGACTTATTCTTGGGGCATTATTTCAGCTCCCCTTTGTGAAATGCTATGAGATCAGATGGAAAGAACTACAGAAATGAAAGCACTGCAAACCATCTTCATAGTTCATCTGCTAAGTAAATAATTTAACTTCTCTGTGGCCACCTCATGGTGCACCCAGTAGCAATTCAAACCACATCTATATCTCTAAAGGAATGCCTCCCAGCTTGGGATAGACCAAGCCCAGCATTTTCTGGGAACCTCTTTCCTATCCATTGCTCTTTTGTGCTACCTGGAAAGTTGGATCAAGAAAAGGTTGATTTTCCCAGTAAAGATGATTTCCTGAGTGATACAGCAAGCGAAGAGCAGGACAAGGACTCTGTTGTGATATTCTGAGTGCCTTTCTATGCTGCTCCATACATAGAATGTAGCTCCTTCCATTTGAGTCTTTATGTTTTTAAATACACACATTTCAGTCCAAGCTTGTTGAGAGATGCTCACGTTTGTTTTATGTCATCAAATACTAGGGGACTGCTTACTGCTTTTATACTCAGTTTTGCTAACTGTGGAAGGCATTGTCGTCTTGTTTCTCGCAGCTCTTAGATTTTGAAACCAAAAAGTCCTACAGTCTGAAGGTAGAGGCAGCCAATGTACATATTGATCCTAAGTTCATCAGCAATGGGCCATTCAAGGACACAGTAACAGTGAAGATATCAGTGGAAGACGCTGATGAGCCACCAGTGTTTTTAAAGCCAAGTTATATTTTTGAAGTACAAGAAAATGCAGCATCTGGTACTGTGGTTGGAAAAGTACATGCCAAAGACCCTGATGCTGCAAATAGTGCTATAAGGTATGCTTCATTAGAGCAGACTGTTTCTTTCTAAGCATTAGCTTTTAGAATTGTTATGCAAGTTCTGCAAGCACAGTAATATTCTAAATTCACTCAGAATATTAACTTTAACCATATAACATTGTTTTTATTTCTTGTTCCGTGAACTGCTGCTTTCTCAAAGCCTGTATCACTAAGAAACCATGCCATAGCTATGTCTAACTAAAATATACGTAAGGACATCTGTGTTAGACTCTATTCTAAATTATTTTTTCTATAAAATATCCTATGCTGTTATCACAGAATGTTTTTTCTCAAAAAATAGAAGTCTAGGCAGTAGATTAGAGATTATGTTGAGTAATCGTTAGGCATTAATTGCTAATGACAAGCACATACGAACACCTACTTTCTGCATTTACATTGGGCAGTCTTCTATTCATTTATTTTTGTTTGTCATCTTCTCACTGTAAATTTAATTATGAAACTCTGTTTTGTGGGTGTAGTTAACATTTCAAAGGATTGCAATGTAGATACGAAAACCAGAGCTGTATAAAGCTGTACAAATGTGTAGATAATGGATAACATTTAATAATCTGGTACGATCAATTAACATTCTGAGCAATCCAAATATCAGAAGACTTAAAAGATCTTAATGATTAATATGAAATGGAAGAAAACATGAATATCTCAGTAGATATTTTATCATGTTTTATAAGAGAAGAAAATAAAGAATATTTTTGACCTTTAATATAGAGACTTCAAAGAACAAAAATTTTCACTTACTACAAACACTCTGATGTAATATTTTTTCTAAATATAGAAACCAACCAGATGAATTTCCTTTTAAAAGAACACATATCATCTCTTTGACAATGATATTAAGGGTAACAACAAGTGTACTACTTTAAATTATTTAGAAATAATAATGATATAGAATAAATTTGGATGCATGAAACTACTAAGTTCTTCTTTTATCTAATTACTGACTTTCAATCTTCTTTAGATATTCAATTGATCGTCACACTGACCTTGAAAGATATTTTATTATTAATGCAGAAGATGGCAATATCAAGACAGTAAAAGCTTTGGATAGGGAAGAAATTGCTTGGCATAATATCTCTGTCTTTGCAGTTGAAGTCCGTAAGTATTTCACTGAAGTATTTTATAATGGTATAAATTCTGTACACTTCTAATTGTCTCAGATTGATAAGCTGCAATAAAACTCGATAGAAACACTTTAGCTTATTTAATTTTTACCTGGATACAGCAGGGATTTTGTTTGTTTTGAGGGATTTTCCTGCTTCTGTTTCATTTTGGTTTTACTTACTCCCATAGACAAACAACACCAGGAAGCCAAAGTTCCAGTTGCAATTAAGGTCGTTGATGTCAATGACAATGCTCCAAAATTTGCAGCAGCCTATGAAGCGTTTGTCTGTGAGAATGCTCGAAGCAATCAGGTATGCCTGTGCCCACCACCTTCCCTGCACATGAATTTCTTTGTTGAGGGTGTTAGCCCAGTTTTGTGTCGGCAGCTCAAATGAGGGGTAGTAAATGAATGTTAATTTTTAAATTTTGGCCAAAATGCCTAGAGCACACAGAAAGGCACTTTACTGTGTTTTTATTTTGAACTGCTATCAATAGTTATAGATACAGTGCTTTGTGCACTGAATGTGACTGCTATTGACTGAGAATCCACCTTCACATGTGCAATGAAGCCAGTTGGGAGCAGCTTTCCCAGCTGTGAGCCTATTTTGGATATTGCAGAAGTACTCAGCGTCTTATGGGAAGAATCACAGGACAGTGCTTGTAGAGATTAGCCTGCAGATTTATCCCTGAACAATCTGTGAGGAAGAGGGGTTGGTCTCATACAGAAATACAGCTCTACACATTATGTGCACCTTTGCAATTAGTGTGGCAGTTTGAAAAGGACATTGTGCTAACTCTGAGCTGCTGAATTTTCTGCAGAATTGTATTTTATCAGTTAAGTTATCATTAGTGCATATTTGTATATGAGAATGTATATATAGGTGTATACTTTTACATCTATAATTATGTGTTTGTTAAATATAATAGCAAATAAAGATTGCCTGTTCTAGTTTTGAGTCTGCTCTGTGTTTATAATTGCACAAATTTGTGTGGGTATTGGGGAGTGGTTCTGCTATTTCAAGATTCTTTGTATGCAAGAGATTTCTCAGAATGCTGTCTGCATGTGATACATCCAGAGGAGCTGTTTGTTTACAAAGTACTCTTCTTTTACAGCAATTTATTACAATTAGTGCTGATGACAAGGATGACTCGGCCAATGGACCAAGATTTATCTTCAGTTTACCACCTGAAATTATTCATAATCCAAATTTTACACTCAGAGACAACAGAGGTTTGTGTGAAGATTCCCTCTATACTAGAGTCCAAAGAAATGACAAAGTAAAACTAATGGCCAGTGTAGTGTCATGCAACAGCATTTTCATTAACTTTGACAGAATGTTTTCCAGAGATTTAGGGGAGGAAGGCAGAAACAATACAGCTGAAATACAAGGGTGTTCTTGGAATAATGTAATGCTTGTTAACTCACTTTCATTTTCTCGGATATATATTTTAAATTACAGAATAATACCCTACATGAAAAATCCACTGCCATTGCTATTTTATCTCCCAGGAAGAGGGTAAAAAACATTGACAAAAACATTCACTAAATGTAATTGGCAGATCTGCTTGATTTAGAGAAATCTTACTTGCTAAGTTAAAACTAGCTGAGGCAGGATAAATTGTTGGGTTGCTTGTATTTGTTCACCTTACTCTGCTTGCTAGTTTTTGTAAATTGTGGACCACAAGAGATGTGGGATAGATTCCTGACGGAATAAAATCGCTGCCACGCTAACCTAGGCAGGAAATACAAATGTGGATTTCTGTTGTGAAACATGCTCAGATTGGGTGCATTTCAGTATATGGGATCCTGATCCCTTTGCCAATTTTCTGCTCATGATATATAGTATAGTCTTGCATTCACATTGACGTTAAGATGTAAGAAATTTGTAGGCATACAGGCACAGATGAGCATCAAAACTTATTTGATCATCTAACATAATAACATCAGTGAACGTAACTTGCCAGAGGTTGAGGAAGCCAGAGGGATGTAAATAGAAAAAAGACAGGTTCAACCATTATACATATTTGTTTATTTAATGATAATCAATATGATATTCTCATTCAATGTTCGTTATCTTTCTGTACAGGGAAAAAACTCCTTCAGCTTCTAAGAAACTGGTTTTAATTAGCAAGCTTTAATGTTTGAAGGAAATGACTGTTTTCAGAAAAGTAGAACTCAGTTGAACTGGTTTAAATAATGAAACCAAATGATTTTTTCGAGATTACTGGAAGTGCAAAAGGCGACATAATACAGATACATGATTTCAGTAAAAACTTCTTTTCTCTCAAGTGTTGTTTTGTTGCATGCGTTGTATCTCTATCAACATCTGAAGTGAGGGTAATTACAGTCAGAGTTCCCAAACAAAATTTCTGTTATTCTTGAAGGATCAAAGTAATACTGTTGCTTAGTGCTTGACACTTGTATATACATAAGCAATTCATAAAGGATCCAGTGGAGGGGATATATTTATTCTCTTTAAAGTAGTAAAACACTGTTTTTGAAAAATTGATGAGTGTATTTTTAGAGAGAAGTAAATAAAAATGTATTCTTTGCTTGAGACCTGAGGCCAAGTTTCTCTTTAAAAGATATTCTATGGTCACCATATCAAACAGAAAATGGATTAGATTTTATAATCTAACAGAAGCAGCATAGGTCAGAATTGAGATGCTCTGATACAGCTGCAGGCAAATGGTATTATGGTTCCAGACTCCAGCCATTTCCACTAATCCTTCATTTCCATATGCAGCAATTTCATCCTTTTTTTTTAATGGCAAAGTTAACCCAGATAAAAAAGTTTTGTAATTGAAATGATGATGTCAGTTGAATGTAGTTGCTGGACCTGACAATACTGCAAAAAGCTATTTCAGCAAGACAGTATTTAAGGATTGACTCTCCCTGTATAATTTTGTGTTTGGGAAATGAATAGTGTAATGAAATCTGTCCATTTCCATCCTGTCTTTCCATCACTTTTGTGCAATCCTCAGTGCAGTGATGATGTTAATTTAACTATTTCTGTGGGGTTTTTTTAAGTAAGCTATGGTAGAGAGCAAAGTAAAAAAGTTAAAATTCTATATAGTTCCATTTAAAAATAACTTCTCAGAGAGAGCGTGTTACCATTTGCAAGTCAAATAATTTACATGATCATTTAAAGTTGTTTTTTTCAGTTGTAAATCTGAATAGTCTATGTACCATGCCACTGCTTTCAGAGGGAATTGCTAGTTTCAAAGAAAAATAGCTTTATTAACTATGGAGAACAGTTAATGAAAACTCCAATGTTTGGGTGTATTACAGAACTTTAAAGTGAATACAGTCCTATAATTATCATTTAATAGAGTTTCTTTCTACCAAGTCCTAAAAGTAATCACATATTGCAGTAATCCAAAAAACGTAATCACATTCTACATCCTATTAATAGCCTACTGTGTTACCAAGTTTTTCAGCTGAGACTATCTTCCATAGAAAACATGAGATAATGGCTTATCACATGCTGTGATAAAACACTGAATTACTTTTGTGCTGTTTACTTACATTATACCACGTAAATAAACAGTACTGTGTTTGCCCAGGCTCTGTTCAGTTTTAGTCCCATTGAAGTCAGAGCTTCAAACGAGCAGTAGAGGCTCATGACACTTCACAGCAGAGAGACAGATTTTTAGCAAATGGATTTCCTGCCTTTAATCCTGCTCTGTCCTAAACTGAAATGCCCTTTACTTGGGCTCCCTCACCTTGTGTGGAGGACTGGCACTTAGCCAGCATTGCTGGAAGGATCGCAACCACTTTCCTTTACCATGCTGCCCAAGGACAAATTACAACACAATGGCAAAAGCAAGCTGCAGTAATGTTCTCAAATACAAAAGATAGTGCTTTTCAAAGACTGGAATTAAATTTGTGAGTCCACTAAAATCAGTGACTAAAATCCACTTTTTTCATAGTAGCATGTCCTCTGGCTCTCAATTTCAGACCTTTTAATCAAGACGTTTTAAAACTTATGAACAATAAAGTTGTGGGATTTTGCCGTGGATTATCCCCAGCAATTGCCACTGCCTAGTAATGATTTTAGACAGTTGGACCCCTGAAATCATTTAGGTTTCTTGCTGAATCAGCACTCACATTCTGATAGAGGTGATAATGTTCGCACAAGAGTCAGCTTCTTTAATCTCGGAACCTCCTTCCACAATGTATGTGTTAACAAGCACCCAAAAGATAAGCTACATTTGCCTGTATGTAGAGGAAAAATTGGAAACCTGTCAATAGGATCACCAGAGAAAAAGACAAAAGTCAAAGGTCAGGAAGCTCACTATAAAGATCATCATAATGTCATGCAATTTTAGCTTCTAATTGTGAAGCTCTTGTGGAGAGTATAGGTAATCTTCACTTACAACACTGTTGGATATTGACTATCCCAGACAATAATAACTGGAAAAATGAGAGTGTGTGTATTTTTCTGGATAGTGCTGAGATGCGTATTTTCTTCCTTCTGTCTTATGTTAGCCCTCATTGTGTTCATTAAGACTGTCAGTCATGTAGCTCCCATATGTGTTAAGTAATAGTTTTAAGCTGGTATTGACATTTAACTTCTGTTTCTTGGCTTAAAAAATGCCATTATACCTGGATTTTAGTTATACTCATAGGACTTGAAAATAATGAAAAAGCAAGGATAAGAATATTAGTTAGGATTATATGTTATCTTTTATCTAGGTAAAAGAGGGTTTTTTTCCTCTTATGGATAGTACGTTTCTTCTAAATGTGAGAAGTGAACATAAATAGAAAAAAAGTTTAAAAAAATGACCTTTTAGGGTTGATCTATGGTAGTCTCTCTTAAAATTTAGCTAGGCGTGTTGATTGGATTTTTCTTTTTAAAAAATTAAATTAAAACTAGAAATCACTTAAAGTTAAACCAGGTAAATCAAACATTGGATCAAATTCAGCCTTAGTGTAATGTAATTGACTGCAGTGGAGTTGGCCAATCTGTATAATAACTGAATAATTTGCCATCCTTTTGTTATTTGTAGTTAGGAATACTATTTAAGCTGCCCAAATTCAAGAAAGATGCAATGTGATATGATATAATATAATTTAAAAAATGTGTAGCAAACAGACTGAATATACTAATACATAATATAGCCTGTGTTTCCTTCCATATTGCCTTTGCAGTCTCTAGGCAGTTATAGCTTGGCCCACTATTAATGTTCATATTTTTTGCCATCAGAATAATCTGTCCTATTGTGAGCTTTCATTTAATTGAGCAGATCTTTGTTCTCATATTGAGGAAATGAATTATTAAATGCATTTTAGAGAACCCTGTGGGATAGTTTTATTCTGTATCGGTATATTTTAGTTCAAGTATTAGCTGATAGGTTAATAGATATTAGATGTAACATCTCTATTTATACTGAATTGTTACGAGCCCATTAATTTAAAGTCTTAAAATAAGACTCCTATCACACAGACACTGATGTCACTAACGTCCTTTAAAAAAATGTGCTACGAGGGCTAGCTAGGCAAATGTTGCATGGAAACACTTAGAAGGTTAGAAAGACTCTGAAAAGAGACAAAGGGCACCTCCAAAACCCACAAGTAATAAATAATAAGATCTTTATCAGCTTCTCTGTGCTTAGCAAATATGACCATCATGTAAAGGAGAGGTTAACAAGCTGTTTTCTATCCAGACGTTATTTTTGTGAGACTTCAGTATCAGAATGAATACAGTTCTGTCATGCCGTGGTAACCACACTGGGCATCATGTGTGGTGAGCCTGGCAGGAGAGCTGTAGATATGGGGAGGTGAATTAATTTGGCTTGTAATAAACAGATTCTATCTATGACAGTCCTAGAAAAAATTTCATCCTTTCTGGTGTGATCTGCAGAAGTTACTAGTGGGAGAGTCAGATAAGCAGGGCCCTAGTGCAGCCATCCTTCTCATTCCATAAATTGACCTGTGTCCACTAAATTTGGGGACAGTTTCAGACCTTGTCCTACATCAGAGGTACTGCCTGCAAGAGTGGTTAATATAAGGCAAGAATACTTCTCTTTTGCTATAATTTATTCACAAACTTTCATGGAAATAGCAGTGATTAGATCATTAAGAGAGGTTTTATGATTTGCATTATTAAATTCTGGAATTTATGCTGACTCTTCAATAGGAAAATGATTAATCTTCTGCAGTACCTCGAGGCAATAGTAAAATGGGTACTGTTGGAGGTGAATAGCTCTCCCTTAGTAGATAAAAGAACCATTCTTTTCTTTTTTTCTTTCTGTTATAAAGTGAAGAGGAAAGAACATGGCAAAACAGAAAAGGTTGTGTGAAGTAAATCCTCATTCTAAAATAGGTTTTGAAGGTCTGAAACCCACAGATATGATTTCGTTTCATTTTATTTATTTCAGGATGTTTACAGTTTTATAAACTTTGGTTTGGTCTGAGAACTGAGAAACAAGGAGCACAATAAATAAATGCTGTTCATGTTTCCTAGCCTTTGTCTGGCGTGGCTGAGAGCAGGAAGCACTGGCTACCTCATCCCAGCATTTCATGTCACACACTTCCCTTTCAAATGCTTTTGCCCCAGGAAGTGTGAAGGACTATCCAAAATGACCTTCTGTTGAGATGGCAGCTCCTTTTCCATCCCTTCCACCAGGAGGTCCAGGCTCAGTGAGAACTGGAAATAGTATTACAGCAATAGTTTAACTCTTCCTCATATCCATGTAATTCAAAATGTGCCCAAACATACTGTGTCTGTATGATCAAGCTTTCTGAATTCTGGCTTTGGGAGTTTGTGTGAAAAACAGGTTCTGATAAAATACTGCTTACTTTACTTACTGAAACATGTCAACATTGCGGCTCAACTATGCTAATACACAGCAAATATTGGCTTTTATTTTGGTGGGAGTCTCATTAATACAGGCCATTTTGGTACAGATTTCTACCTTCGACTCCTGTAGGTCTGACACCAAGAGAAATAAATCAGGGAGATTTGATTTTCTCCTCCACTGAAGGTTTAAATTTTGGAAAGAGACTAGAACCAGCTCAAGCAGCAATACCAAAAGAGATTTTTTGTGTGTGTGTTCTTTGTGTTACCCTCATCACCCTAAAATAATTAAAATTGAGTGTGGTACTGTACGAATGAAGCATAATACTGTAATTGCTCCTGGGTCATTAAGAAGGTGATACTTTGCACTGGTTTATTGTACAAATAATGCGAAGGCATCTGAAAATTCAGAGCCGTGGTAGCAAGGTATATTTTTTTCATACTTACTTGTTTGTGGAAAAAATAATGATGACTAGCTTTCTTCTTTAAACAGATAACACAGCAAGTGTTCTTGTTAGACGTGAAGGATTTAGTCGCCAAAAACAAGATTTATACCTTCTTCCTATTGTAATAAGTGATGGTGGACTCCCCCCTATGAGCAGCACCAACACCCTCACCATTCGGGTCTGCGGCTGTGACAGCAATGGCTCCTTGCTCTCCTGTAATGCTGAAGCCTACATCCTCAATGCTGGATTAAGCACTGGAGCTTTAATCGCCATTCTTGCTTGCATTGTGATTTTGTTAGGTAAAAAAGTTCTTTACTTATTACTTTTCTATACTTGTTTGCACTAAAAATTTAACCTTGCCTACAGCTCCAAGATGGATAACTGAATCTTAATTTCTTAGCTTTTATTTTTATAGGAGGTACTAATCTGCCTAGCTGAAATGCAGTATTTAGTAACTGCAATAGCAAACACCAATGAATTTGTCTAGGTGTGCTCAGAGGATGTCCTTTTGTGGCCTAGTATCTGTTAATCAGGGACATTGTTTAAAGGAGGCCATGACATACAGTTTTAAGTTTTGTGATCTTCCCTGGATGACAAGTTCTTGTTGAGGTCAGCCAGGATTAATGGCTCTTGCCAGCTATTTCCCTCTAATTCTTCTTGTGTTGAAGACAAATGAATGGATCAGAAGTCCTGCTTTTAAGAAAATGCTGTAAAGCATTTCCTGATGATTTGAAAATATTTTAAATAAAATGTTTTAATTTGCCTGTAGTAATTTATAGTCTTTCTTACGTATTTTAAGTTATTTTATAGAAATTTGAAGTGAGAAGGAATACAGCACCAAGAGCGTGTGTATTGGGGTGTTGCTTAAGAAAAATTACGTTTTCATGGAAATGAGACATGGAATTAGGGTTAAGCTTGTTTTGTTGCAGATATACGTGTGATTGCGCTGCTCAAAGGCAGTGTCACAGTGTTCTTGCAGCACTAGGGTCCCACCAATCCTTTTCTTGAATTAGTCTTGCAGTAAGAGCAATGGCATTCAGCCCAAACAGAAAACCTCAAATCAGTGTGTTCAATTCTGTGTACAAACGTCAATGCTTTTACCTAGCTAGGCATGCTAAAAATGCAGATGTTAGCAAAAATACATGATGAATTGCAGCATAAAAGCTGAGATTTCAGTGAATGCAATAATCTGTCTATAAAGGAGCCACTGTTTGAGAGTGCAGTCTAACTTGCTTTGTTTTTTCTGTAGTCATTGTAGTGTTGTTTGTAACACTGAAAAGGCAGAAAAAAGAACCTCTGATTGTTTTTGAAGAAGAAGATGTTCGAGAGAACATTATTACTTATGATGATGAAGGTGGAGGAGAAGAAGATACTGAAGCTTTTGACATAGCTACTTTGCAGAATCCCGATGGCATCAATGGATTTATCCCTCGTAAAGACATAAAACCTGAGTATCAGTATATGCCAAGACCAGGGCTTCGGCCAGCTCCTAATAGTGTCGATGTTGATGATTTCATCAACACGAGAATACAAGAGGCTGATAACGATCCAACTGCTCCTCCTTATGACTCTATCCAGATCTATGGCTATGAAGGAAGAGGCTCAGTGGCTGGTTCACTTAGCTCATTAGAGTCAGCGACAACAGATTCTGATTTGGACTACGACTATCTACAAAATTGGGGACCTCGATTTAAGAAACTTGCAGACTTGTATGGCTCCAAAGACACTTTCGATGATGATTCTTAACAATAAAGTTTAAGATTTGGCCTTAAGAACTGTGTCCGATGTTCTGAAGAATCCAGAAGAAATGTAAGCAGGTATTTTTTTAAAAATTAAGAAAAATCTCATTTAAACATTTAAGTTTGACAGAGAGGATTCCTTTGATAAAAAAGGACATAAAAGTGGTAAATACTGTGAAGTACCTTTTCCTACAAAAGGCAAATATAGAAGTTGGCTGCCAACTTCACTAAAGGAAAAAACCCACTTAAGAAATACAAAATATTTAAATGAAGGAAAATGCTAAAAGCAAACCTACAAATAAGGGAAATCTTTTATGTATTATGAACATCTAAATCTTTTTATGTCAAAGAAGCTTCCACGAATTAGAAAAGATAACAGTTCTGAGCTGTAATTTCGCCTTAAACTATGGACACTCTATATGGTAGTGCATTTTTAAACTTGAAATATATAATATTCAGCCAGCTTAAACCCATATGATGTATGTACAGTACAATGTACAATTATTATGTCTCTTGAGCATCAAACTTGTTACTGCTGATTCTTGTAAATCTTTTTGCTTATACTTTCATCTTGAACTAATACGTGCCAGATATAAAAACTCTGTCTTGTTGCAGTGGGAGGCGCCCTATTTCTATGTCATTTTTAATGTATCTATTTGTACAATTTTAAAATTCTTATTTTAGTATACATACAAATACCAGTACTCTGACATGTAAGAAATGTTACAGCATCACACTTATATTTTATGAACATTGTACTGTTGCTTTAATATGTGCTTCAATATAAGAAGCAGACTTTGAAATAAACTGATTCTTTTTTAATTCTTGTTCTGGTTATTAAGCATATAAGGAAAAACATAGTGTTTCTAATGTCCCATTTATAGTTCTGACTAATTTACTACAATTGTGACCTTTTAATAGCCTTATTTATTATGTGTTTGTAGTTGGTTTGTTGCCTTGTTAAGTGATTATTTAAAAATCAAGTACATTTTACAAATGTTTTTTAGATTAAAAGAAATGTAATGTCTGGTGAACATTTTGTACCCTCTCTATCTACAGCTTGTGGCTGCTCCCAGAACACAGTAATAATCTTCATATAATACTACTGTGATTTCTGGATTAAATTACGTGTAATACTTTTCAATATTTCCCATGTAATATGCATTTATCTTATATCTTAGAAATTCCAGAGGTTTCAGAAATGACTTTTGAAGTGGACAGGAGTACTCTGTACTTATGATTTACTCCAGGCTTGTGAATTTCCGTATCTGTGCTAAGCTTCTGTGGGTTCTAGAGACTTAAATCTGACCCAGTTTAACTATAAGTTCCCTAAAGACTGTTCTACCTGACAATTACCTTACCTGAGTAGTAATTAAGATTCTGGCACTTACTTTTTTTTTTTCCTTTTGATTCCTGCCCCCCCCCACCCCCCCGCCTTTGCTGCAGTGGAATAGCATCGTCTACTGATAGGAAGACATTTTAATTTGTGATGACAGAAATACAGAGTGCTTTCAGAGTTGTTCTTTGTAATGTATGTTTTTAATTGAAAAATGATCTATAACTTTTTTTATATTAGTTAAGAATGAGCAAGGGATTGGAATGTGTTCTGTCCATCAACATTTTCAGCATCTGTGTACAGCTCTACTGCTAAATTTAATATAGTTTGCTGTTTAGGGTCAGAGATCAGCAGCTGCAATATGGGAAGAGGCAATAAATAGAAATGATATACATTTTTCTACCGTTCATTTTACAGACTCTGTCCTTCATTTGCAGTCAGGTACCAAACTGCTTGATCTGAGAGGAAATCTGATTTGTTGGTGTATTGCTTTTCTGAAGACCCCCACATATGTAGTTAGATTAAAATTTAACTTGTTAAAATTATGAATGATGTTTCAGCTCTATATTCATAACATATTCACTTGTCCCATTATATTCCTATGTTTTATAAGGCAGAGTTTGCTAAATCAGCAGATTTGCTCTACAATGTTTATTGTAATATTTCACTTTATTATAGCTGTATGCATTCTATATAATTCTATAGTTTATTATTAACTCGGTTCAAATTTCTTTGGTTGTTGATTTTTCTCTGTTTATAATCCAAAGAATATTTTGCTAGATTTGCACATTTCTCCATTATAAATTTAAATAAACATTAAAAAAATGAAATTAGTATCAATTTACAAATTAACAAATTGAAATAAATTTTAAAAAAGTTATTTGTAGGACTTCATCCTCATTGATGCTATCTGGGTTTATTTCACTTTTGAGCAAGTTTTAGAATTAATAACTGCATTTTCTACATTTTTGTTTAATTTTTAAGAAGGACATTGTCAATTACATTTTTTAATAGTTTTAAATGCTTTGAGTTTTAGTCTTATTGTTTGTAGCACTCTCGTAGATGCTTGGAAATAAATTTTCTTTCCCTTCTGGTTTTGTCCTTTTTCATTTGATTATTTTTCCCCTTCCCAGTGAATATGCAATTATCATAGTGCTTTATTAAGTTAGTCTTGCTAATCTCAGCCAACACTACCTCTGAAATGCTGGGAATTATACTCATTACGTATCATCTGCAGCACCCCAAATGAACAGCATGTTTTGGCACAACAACAGGACATTTATTTGTGTTAAGCTTCACAGCAGTGGTCGCTGGAGTCTCAGGTTTATAATCTGAGAGTGTAAAAACCAGCCCAGCGCAGCAGTACTGGGTTAGTCCCCGACACACATCACAGAAGACTGTGGGCTGGGGTTGTAGTTTGTCGCAGTGCTCCCAAGGATCTGAGCAGCCTGGGAAGGGATTTACTTGTATGAGTTACTTTAGCGTAGTCTCTCTCTCTTCCTGACTGAGCTCAGGGAAGGGCTGAGCCTCACATCCGTGAAAGGCAACTGAAAGATTAATTACAAATTCAGTGGGTTTGAATACAAAGACTAATTAAAAGGAAGATCACCGCAACTGAGCCAGGTAAGGTAAGGGACAGCAGCAAGTGCAGATGATGTTTTGGCCTCTTTTATTCTCTATTGTAAGTTCTGCCTGAGACATTGTTGGGGGGGGGGGCGGGGAACACAACAAAACCCCTCCAAATACCCTCAGTAACAGACAGTGTGAGGTTACCAGAAGTGATATTTATTTTGTGAGCTGAGTACATGTATGTGCTCTTGTTGGCAAAAATACACAGCTCCTTGTCTAGTTGCTTATCACCAGAACATGCATCTGAGCAAGGCTGACATGCCTCCCATATCACATATATATCCACAGTGCATTGGCACACAATTTCATCACCGGCAAGAAGCAATTAGGTATGCAAGTTCAGTGCTGGTTGCTAAGGGAACTCTCAAAACTTGCACTGATATGGAAGGGGAGGATTTGTTTGGGATTTTTTAGATTGCCTCTGTCATGTTCTTGCCACTATGTCAAGCAGTTTTTGATACCGTGTTAAAGGGTGCAAGCTTGCAAGCTTGCCACCAATGTTTATGTGATCTTGTGTAAGATACTGCCTCAGAAACTGATGTGACCACAGACAAGAAAAGCTTTTAAATAATTTGCATGTTTTCTTGACTCCGTATTGTTGACTGACTGACAAAATAAAATGCTGAATTTTGCCATGTTGGTGCTGATAAGATTACAGAAAAAGTGAAGAATAGGAATTTAAATCAGGCTCACAATGAGGCAACCTTAGCTTTCTGGGACATAAAAGCCTGGAACCCTTTTATGTCTTTCCCATCCAGCAGAATTCTCAGAATTATGTGTTTTTATTGAAAGAGTCAGTAAACAAAAATCTAAGTAGACCCTGTGCAGGTTTCCACTTGAATGACTGATCAAGATACTGTGCTACTGTAACCAAAGCTAAACAATCAGCATCAGAATCACATTCTGTATTAAAAACAAAAACAAAGCCCAAAAAAACCCAAAACAACAAAAAACCCCCCAAACCACTAAAAACCAAATACACCCCCCTCAAAACAAAACAAAAAAACTCCAAAAAAAAGAGAGAGAAGAAAAATGAATGACTTGTGAAAGGGAATGAGTGACCTTGTCAGAATTAGTTAGATGCAGATCTCTGGAGCTTTGCTATTGTTTTCACTAATTTGGGCTGAGACTGGGGATCAACCAGTTTGAACTAGTTCCACACCCGGGTATGCTAGTGAAAAAGTTTTCCATTATTTAATATCACTAATCTCAGCATTTGATAAGGAAGGCTATTTCAAATCCTTGACTGACCTGGACTGGCTATGAATACCCAAGTCACAAGAAGAAAAATTTTAACCTACTCTGATTTATAGATTCACAGTAATTTGAAAAACATGCTTCTTGTAGCTCTGTACAGAGTCCTGGGCCTTGCCTGCTCACCAACTTCAGCTCTGTATTTGCTACTCTCTCCCTTAATAACTGCAAACCTGGCTTCCGAAATTAGGTCTTCTGCCTTCTCACAGCAGAGGAAGTGCAGAAGCTACAATCTGACACACAGATAGCAGCTTTGCCATGTACGCCGCGTAGCTTCATATATGCATACACACAATGGGCTTTGCTGATGTCCAAGACCTCATACCTCCTGGACAGAGGTGGTGGGTTGTGGGCAGCAGGGGCAAGTGCTTACGTGAGGGTTTCTGCAGAGTATGTGGAGCATTTCGGGTTTCTCTGTGGAAAGAAAGAGCCCAAAGAGGTGCTTTGTCTTAGAAGTGTCCTTTTCAAGAGTCTTTCAGACTTTCCATTGAAGCCAATTTATGTTTTATAAATAATTAAATATTAACTGGGGCAGGGAATGGAACCTGAGATTATCAAAGTCCTTGTGAGTTCTCTAACTGCCAAACTCAAAACTCGATTTTATTTTCCTTTTCTTTTTTTGTACTTGTTTAGTCTGTTTGCAACAGTTTATAGGTACATCAAGAACAGCAATGGCCAGGCTTTTGGGCAAAGCACTACCATGGCTGGGGAGGAAATCTGCTTTGAAGTGGCAGGTTGCGAGTAGCAAATTCATAGCTGGTAGTGATGGGGGAAAAAACCATTATCTTCTATCCCATACTGCCAGGAGATGGGAAGGAATAGACACATCTCTTGTCTTCTACATTTCTTTTTCCTTTTATGTTGATAAAATCGGGACAAATACCTAATTACTTATCTACCTAAGTCTAGGAGAAGACTTCTGGTTTATTGTGAGTCCTCTTGGCTAAGGATGTTTGTTAGACTCAACTACAGGGCTGCTCTTTTAAAACAAACGCTTAATAGTTTGACCTTTAACAGGTTTGAAAACTAGAAAGAGAAAAAAACCTACTCTGTATTTTTTTAAAGCTACCCTGCCAAATTTTAAGACATGCCTTGCATTTTTGGTGGTTAATGAAAGAGACTTAGGCTTTGTGACTGCTTTGACTGAGGTTACCTCTTGCTTTCCTTTTCTTTTTTCTTTCACATGAGTGAAAAAAAAAAATGTTTATTTTAATTAACCAAATCCATATGCTGTTCTCCAGGCCCTTCTGCAAGTGAAGTGTTTATTTTGTTGTTGTTGTTGTTGTCTTTTCCAACCTAAATCATTCCATGAGTCCGTGACTCACTACTTTGGCTGCCAAGGCAAATTTCCTCCAGCTCTATCACCAGCAGGCCTTGCAGACATAGCACTCCTCTCACAGAGCTGCTTTATATATATGAAGCACTTCTGTATTGTTCTTTGTGATATATGGAGGTTTTAAGGGGGATGGGGGGACGGGAAAAAATTTTTTTTCTGTTTTGGAGCTGTGATGCTTTCACTTCCACAGCTACAAAACTGTCTTGCCATGTTCGTGTGCTATGCTCAGTGCCTTTTCTCTGGGTGGTAAGGAGCAATTTTTCAGGGAGTAATAAACGCCCTCATACTTGGCAGGGTGTCTTTGGAAAGCCCCATTGTTCCCCTGCTGCCAAAGATGGCCTTCCTTCCTGGAGACTATTCTCCCTGCTGCAGCTCGAGCTCATATTTTCCTTCTTCTTATTAGCACACTGAAGAAAGTCATCATTAATCAAATGCAAGCACATTTAGCAAAGTTCAATGTGTATGAAAAATTTATGTCAACCTTTAGGCTCTATGACAGCCCCAAGGCTTCACTTAATAAGTTCTATAATGACTTACTGTTAATGGCCGATTCACATTATCTCTTTGAGGTCTATTGGGCCTTTCAGTAACATTTTCTTCTATTGATTATGGAGCTGTTGTACGTTGCCCAGACACATAAGGAAAACTCTTGTTTACGTTCTTTGCTTTCTAAAATGGGAAGTTGGATGCATTAAACTATAAAACCCCACAGAACATAATTTTCTCTTGTGTTAATTTATGTGGCTCTAGTATAGTGCAATCGTGAATGAAAGAGTAGCTACGGGGGGAGCAGGGGCTGGCAGAAGCTCTTGG